TGGTACAATACGTTCAGCTTTTGAATATAGTGGACAAAAATGTTCTGCTTGTTCTCGTGTTTATTTACCAAAATCATTATCAAATGAATTTTATTCCCGAATGAAAAAAATCATGACAAATGAATTACGTATTGATACACCATTAAAATTTGATACATTTACATCTGCTGTTATTGATCGTAATTCATTTAATCGTATTCGATCATATATTGATTTTGCACGAACATCATCATCAACGAAAATTCTTGTTGGTGGAGAATATGATGATTCAGTTGGTTTTTATATTCAACCAACATTAATTGAAACAACTGATCCAAAAAATAAATTAATATGTGAAGAAATTTTTGGACCTGTTGTTACAGTTTATGTTTATGATGATAAAAAATATGATGAAACTGTTGATTTACTTAATGAAACATCAAATTATGCTTTAACAGGCTCAATTTTTTGTCAAGATAAAATAATTCTAGATAAAACACGTGAGCGTCTAATAAATACAATTGGTAATCTTTATTTAAATGATAAATCAACTGGATCTGTTGTAAATCAACAACCATTTGGTGGTGCACGTTTATCCGGTACGAATGATAAAGCAGGTGGACCTCATTATTTATTGCGTTTTTCATCACCATTGGCTATAAAAGATATGAAAGAACCATTGAAAACATTTAAACATGTTTCAATGGAATAAGATCTTCTATTTTTTGTTTTTCTCTTATTTTCAATCTCAATTTTTCAAATTATTTTATTCCAGTCTCTTGTGATCTGACTAATTTGTTTGTATAGATTTTCAATGAAGATCAATCTTGTTTTGCTTATAACGTTATTAATATTATTTTTTTAATGTATTGAATAGCGTATTTTGTTTCTTTCTTTGAAATTAAGGACAAAATATAAAGCAGTCGAAGAGTCACCTATAAGAATAAATTTATTATTAAAAAGCTATTAATACAAGGCCTGTGGAATTAAAATGCGAAATACAATGTAGTTACTGTTGATAATCAGAGAGAGATTATTTTTTGGGTACATTTCTTCGTCATCCTTTTACTTAATCCTTCATAAATTCAATCAATAAGTACTTCACATATCATGATGAGAAATTGTTTATATATAACTTGTAAGATCGTTTTTCACAAAAATAAATTCTAACAAAATCAATAATCAATGTTTATTTTTGTTTTCTGATGTATTCAAAACACGTATTGCTTCTTCTTATGAGGCAAGGTTCCCAAGTGATAAATCATTTTTAAACTTGAATTATATTCAATCGATAGGATCTAGTGCATAAGTAAATACCCTAGAATCATCCGAGTAGATGGATCTCTTTTGTTGAGTTTTTCCGGGATATGGATTTTTTAAAATATAGGCGTTTACTATGATTATTGTACAAAACGTGAACGATTTGGTCTAAGAATCCTGAAATTTCTTCTACTGGCTAGTCTAATCGTTAAATTGATGAAGACAAAATTTTAGATCGAAATTCAAAAGTATGATTTCGTTTGACAACTTGGATTATGCAGAAAAAATTCATTAAAAAGTCGATATCTCAGTAAGAAAGACAAACTGCTCGAATTTTTCTAGGATATTCACTTACTAATTAGATCCTATTGATTGAATATAGTTCTAGCTGGAGACCAATTTATCACTTGGGGATCTCTTTTCGGTAGAGAACTGCATAATAAGCTTTTTCTTGTGCCCTGATTGGCGAGAAAACTACTCGAATTCATACTTGGCGTTTTGGCTCAGATTGAGTTTATAATAAAGTCTCGGTAAGACTAGAAAAATCCTAAAAAGGCTTGTTCCGATGGGTCTTCAGAGCTGAGTTATGACTATTTTACTGAATTTTCAATTCAGCATGAGGTATCTAGTGAAAAACCAAATAAGGAAATGCTGATTTGCATTTTGCCCATAGATAGACATGATGAATTGAGAAATATCTTGAAAGTTTTAGTCCAAAAGAATGTTCTGTTATTTGATTTTCCAGTAAATACTTTATGCTTGATGGAAAATTTAGTAAAACGATTATAACTCTGTTCCGAAGATCTATAGAAGCACATCTTTCTAGAATTTTTCTAATCTTAACGAGATCGTTTGGTGAGTTCAATATTAGCTCAAACAGTAGTTGACATTTCAGTTAGTTTCTTGGTGAGAAAAACTTTTTCACTGTTACCTTACCCTATGGAATTTTTATTCCACTCTCATTTAATGTTACCCTAGTTTGAAGAATCCAAAAGTCATAAATAGCAATATAGTATCATGGAAAGATGTTCAGAGTAAAGTTTTTTTCGTACCTTATACTCTGACTGAAAAAAATATTCTAGTTGAATAATATTTATTTTGTAGTATGATTGAAAATGTCGGTTGACAATGACTATTTAAGTTTTTATGATTGGATTAAAAAGAATGGTGGTCAAGTTCATCAATGTGTAAAAATTGATATTAAACAAGAACGTGGTCTGTTTGCAACAGATTCCATTGAACCTTATACTGCTCTTGCTATTATACCTCGATCGTTAATAGTTAATAATCAACATTCTGATTTGTCTACTATTAATATTGATACAGAACGACAAGCATTAATTGTTTTTCTGCTACATGAATATATTAAATATGATGCATCATTTTGGTTTCCTTGGATAAAACTTCTAAATATTGATAAAGAAACGAATGAATTATTAAAAATACAAATGCATCTATTCGATTGTGTAAAACATAGTACATTAGGTCAAGCATTAATAACTCGATATCAACAACTTCAAGAAGAATATGAACAATTAAGTCAATCGAATATTATTGAAACAAATTTTGAATTATTTTGTGCTTTGGATCATCTTGTTTGGTCACGTATACTTGATTTACCTGAAAATGAACCTCTCTCATTAGTACCGTTTATTGATTTTGCTAATCATAAGTATGTTATTATATTTTCAATATGTATATTTTGAAGATTCATATTTATCTTATAGTTTGAATGCTAATGCACGTTGGTTTATTGATGATGAAACACATAATTTAATTCTTCGATCTGAACGAACATTAAATTTAGATGAAGAAATTACAATTAATTATGGATTAAAATCCAATGAAGAACTGTTATATTTATACGGTTTCACATTATCCAACAATCCAAATGATCGTGTCACATTACCAGTTAGTCTATTACCTGATGACATTTTACTTGAAGATAAACTTCAATTAATTCAATCATTAAAATTACCTCCTCGATTGACTTTAGATATTAATGGTTATCTTAATGATGAATCAAATCGATTAGTAAAAATCTTAAGTGCACAAACACATGAAACAATTGATAAAGAAAATGAATATTATAGACCATATCTTCTCAACTTATTCCATGAATATCTTAACAAATTGAATATGTGTTCTAATGATGAGAAATTTATTGAATATTATCTTGATAGTCAAAAATTAATTGTCCAAAAAGCGATAGACAATTCGAAATAAAAAATTTAACTGTTTTGAATATGATTTTTTTTTACAAAGTTAGTTAAATAAAACCTAAACATACACCTAAATCAAATACTGACTCGATATTTATAAACTATCCAATCATTTTAGACAGTGTCGAGTATTACGGTCATTGTTCAAGTGTTTCTTGAGGTATTTGGGCAATCATGAAAACATCCTAAGGTTCAGCTAACTTCGAGTTTGAGTGTTTCTGAACGGCTCCTTCTACTTTGATTGGAAATAAAAATGTCGAAAACTGATTTGGATACTTTTGAATATTTTCCTATTGAGAAAATTAAAAAAAAACCAAGCAGATAAATTTGAATCAAATGTTTTTCTACTGAAGAAAGAAAAACAAAGATAAACATGGGAGATTTTAGATCCTATTGATGTTGTAATGCTGTTGATCGTTTGGATTTGGGTGTGACTGTTACTCTACTCTTCACAAATACACTGATCCACACTCATAAACTCACAATTGCACTTCATACCTAAATCTCACTCTTTGACATTTTTTAGGATGTTTATAGATCATCGGTTTCTGTATGATTTATTCCGCTATGAGTAAATCTAACATAGTCAAACATGAAATCTTTTCTTTTGACTTACTTCTGTTTCCTTCTAATTGAAAATGAACGCAGTCAAGATCGAACGTTCGAATTAGGTATATGACTAATATAAGATCTTTCTATATTGAACTAATTAAGTAGAATATANTTAGTTAAATAAAACCTAAACATACACCTAAATCAAATGCTGACTCGATATTTATAAACTATCTAATCATTTCAGACAGTGTCGAGTATTACGGTCATTGTTCAAGTGTTTCTTGAGGTATTTGGGCAATCATGAAAACATCCTAAGGTTCAGCTAACTTCAAGTTTGAGTGTTTCTGAACGGCTCCTTCTACTTTGATTGAAAAATAAAAATGTCGAAAACTGATTTGGATACTTTTGAATATTTTCTTATTGAGAAAATTAAAAAAAAACCAAGCAGATAAATTTGAATCAAATGTTTTTCTACCGAAGAAAGAAAAACAAAGGTAAACATGGGGGATTTTAGATCCTATTGATGTTGAAATGCTGTTGATCGTTTGGGTTTGGGTGTGACTGTTACTCTACTCTTCACAAATACACTGATCCACACTCATAAACTCACAATTGCACTTCATACCTAAATCTGACTCTTTGACATTTTTTAGGATGTTTATAGATCATCGGTTTCTGTATGATTTATTCCGCTGTGAGTAAATCTAACATAGTCAAACATGAAATCTTTTCTTTTGACTTACTTCTGTTTCCTTCTAATTGAAAATGAACGCAGTCAAGATCGAACGTTCGAATTAGGTATATGACTAATATAAGATCTTTCTATATTGAACTAATTAAGTAGAATATACTATGATTATTGAAAATTAAAGATATACATATTATGTAATTATAGATAATTCTATACAGATATAATTTTATTCAAACAAGAAAAAAGAATTCCAAGAAATCAGATAATTAATTGACAAAGATACAGTGGAATTTTTACAATGGTACAACCATGCCAACACTAACTGTATGATCAGGTGAAAGTATTAAATTTTTTTGACCATATGGATATATACTTTTTAATAATGAATAGATAAGTAATATCAATTTACTAGGTAAAGCACGCCATCCTTTACGTACAACACGAATAGTGATTGCCGGAATGAAAAATGTTATATTACGACCATCAGGAATTGGTAGACCATGTTCCGTAGCAGCTAATTGCAAACTAAATTAAATAAAAAGAAAATATACTAATTGTATCTTCTATTTGGAACAGTTTCATTTTAGTTCGGTCATAAATCATTGAATTAAAATGAGATGATAAGTCTTCAGTTTTCTTCATTTTCAAATGGTCATCAGTTGAGCAACACTCATATAGTAACCCGTTGATTTCTGTAGGTGGTGTTACCTATCAACAATACACAGTAGAACTTGATAATGCAGAGGGATGTATCGAGCAGGAATGAGTACATTGGATGACCTCTAATCTTGAAAAACTTTCGTTTTTTCTCTAACGAAGTTCCACTGTTGTTTGATTTTATGTGTTCATCGATTCCTAAAAAAATCCTTTAACCTCTTGAATACCGATAATTTCTTGCGTTCTGTGTAATAGAGATAAAAATAAAAAAATCACTATCTATTGCGTTCGATCGTCTTGTATCAGCTGTATTCATGCATATTTTGTCGTATATATAACATGGATCGATATAGCTATGCCAGTGAACATGTCGTTTCACAGCTGTTTTTTGACACGACAGAACGAAAAAGAAATTCTTTCGTTCTACATGTCTTCAATTGAAGACAAGCGGTATTCAAGAGGTTAACGCCCACCATTAAATTCTGTCATATGCATACACTATTAGATAAAGAAAATATTTCGCGAGAAACCTACATACATTCATTTCTACAGTCAAATATTATCGAAAAACTTATACTTGTCTTTGCAAAGTAACAACAAACAACATCATTTTTTTCATTACATATATAACATGCCTGTGCGTTTGTAAATCCTGATAACTTTGGTATTTTTTCTGTTATTGTTTATTGTAAAACCTAACCTCTTCTATATTAAATATAATCATGAATTTTCACAATGGATGACATTCGAACTGAAATGAAAGATCACTGAATGTAACCGAATCGAGGATAAATTTCTATTTGTCTTGATTGACATGATACAAATAGAAATAAAAAAAAAACTTTATTAACTCACATATCCAATAAATGAATTTTATGTTCCGAATATCCATAACGTGCCATAAGATGATAAAAAGGTCGTTCATCTGAACCATATTTGTCAATTTTTAATCTATGACTCATATCAACAATTGGTATTCGTGCATATTCTAATTTAAGAAAGATTGCCACTTGTGGAAGCTATATCAAATAAGACAACTTCAACAACAACAACAACAAAGAAAACGAAATTTTTCTATATAATAACGTACTGCATGAATACGTTCTAATACACGTTCAAATACATGTGGTGTATGTCTTGTTGATGTTGTTAGAAAAACACCAAGACCTGGTGTAACTGTAAAGACAAGATTACCCAATGGACTTTTAAGAAACATGTTTTTATCTGCTTCATCAATAAATGGTAAATGATTTTCATCATTATTATTATTCGTTGATGATAATGATGGTGGAAGTATATGTATCATTGATTCTGTTTTGAGTTCATCTTCTTCATCACTACTTGCTGTTTGATAATCAATTAATAAACTTCCTGATCGTTTAAGTTGTTCATGTTTTGTTTCATCTAACAATTTATCAGTTACATTTGAAAAGCCAAGACGAATTGGTAATTGAGGAAGTGTTGTTGTTTGTGCATAACAATTAAGATATCTACGAAGTAATGTTTGACCATAATACCAAGAAAAACCAAGAATAAAAAATATTATAGCAATTAATAAAGCTACCCAAGCACCTAAACATATAATCATAAGTTTTATCTTTGAAATAAAATTAAAAAAAAAAAAAATTAACCTTCAAAAAATTTAATTACATTTGCTGAAAGAAAAGTAATATCAAAAATAAGAAATGTTCCAAAAAGAATAACACGTATCCAATGATTATTCCATACATAACGCATAACACACATATAAAGTATTGATGTTATCAACATATCTGAACAGACTGTTACACCATCTAAATATATCATTAATTTGAATTTAGATGAAAAAATAAATTTGTTTTATTTATTTACAAGCATGTGCTAATTGATCACTACTACGAAAATATAGTGTTATTGATAGTGTTATTAACATAATTATCCAATTGATAGCCTTAAACAAAAAACTTTTTTTTTCCTTATCTTATTTTAAAACAAAAAAAAAACAATCATTCGTACAGGTACATAGATTTGTCCAATAACTTTTTTACTTGTATGTATAACACGTAATGGTGGTGAATAACCAAGTGATGCTGCTTGACTTATTAATGAGAAAACACCAGTAATAATTGCTTGAGAAGCAATAACTAAATATATTAATAAAATTTACATACTAAATATTCTTAAATTAAATTTATTTACTTGTAGCCATTGTTGCAAGAATAATTAAAGGCCATCGAAACCATGATGGACCAGCATTGTAGAATGGATTCGTAATTAATTCAGGATGTTGCATAATTAATGCTCCTTGACCAAGATAATTAAACATTACAGATGGTAATACAACACATAACCAACTAGTTCGAATTGGCCATCGACCAAAATGACCTATAATAATAATTCTAATAGTTTTTATTGAATGGGTGTAAAATTTAATATTCTTACCTAAATCAGCATAAAGTGCTTCAAGACCTGTTACTGACAAAAAAACACCACCTAAGAAAAAAACGAAAATAGAATTTAGAAGAAAATTTTAAATTTTTTTTTCTTTTTACCAATTTGCATAAATCCTTTTTGTTTTTCTCGAATTAAATAATTTATAGCCTCCCAAGGATTAAATGCTCGAAGTATGGCTGGATCAAATGTAATACGCCATATACCAATTGAAAATAGGACAAAAAACCAAATGATCATAATTGGTGCAAATGTTAAACCTAATTGTTAAATAATAGTCTTTAAAAAAAAAATATATATCTTTTAAAAAGAAAACTTTTTACCAATTTTTGATGTACCAAACATTTGTACAAAGAAAAGAATTATAATTATCAAAATTGTTACTGGTAAAACCCATTTAGTTAATGCGGCAGAAGTTGTTGCTAAACCTTCAACAGCTGATAGAACACTAATAGCTGGTGTAAGTGCACCATCACCTAAATTAACTGAAATTTATATTTAAATTATGAAAAGAAAAATTATTACCAATTAAAAGTGAAGCAGCAAATATTGAAACTATACTAATAACATGTTTAGCACGAGCACGTAATTGACTATGTTCACCTGTTAATAGACCACATAGAGCAAATGTTCCACCTTCACCACGATTATCAGCCATTAAAATAAAAATACCATATTTTATTGATACAACAATAATTAAATTCCATATAATTAATGATACAGCACCAATACATTGTTCTCGTGTTGGATGAAGATTTTCAGCAAAAATTGTACGAATAACATACAATGGACTTGTACCAATATCACCAAATATAATTCCAAGTGAACCGATAGTTAATGATAGATACAAACGTATGTTACGATGTGATGAAACTTTAGTTGTAGTTTCACATTTATCTGATACTGATAGAGAATTTTTAATTTTATCATGTGTCACAATGCCATTTGTATGACCATTACCTAAAAATCATATTAATTTCTAGAATAAAAATTAATGATTTAACGTACTTTGAACCATTGTACCTAACAGAAGAAGAATGAAATGAAAATAACTAATATAAACAAAATATCACGATAGAATCGGCATTAAATACAAAACGAAAGAAAAATATATCACGTTGTGAAAAGAGAACGATAAAAAAAAGAATAGAGAAAAATAGCATTGGCACGTAATCGAGCTTTCAAATATCCATTTTCAATATCTAACCTGAAATATAGACAAAAAGATGACACATCAGTTAATAAATAAAAACAACTGAAATAAACCTAAAAACGTCATAACATTATCTTTAAATTATATAAAATTCATTTGAAAACACAAATGAATGTTATACAACGACTATAAATTACATTCTCCATCAATATGAGTTTGTTAAATTAGAATTTTATCGAATAAAATTATTTGTATCTACATAAATAATATTCGAAATAAAAGTAACATATGGTAAGAATTAAAATTTAGCAAAGAAGGAAACAGCTGAGTTTTAATGCAGTGTAAAGCACGGCATTTCTCTAGTTGATCGAGTACGTATTTGTCTTTCATACTTTGCCTGAGATAATTAAAATTGATGAGCTAATCTCGAGCCAGCTAAACTGTTAACTCTTATGTTAATTGAAATTCTATTGACGAAAATCGAAATCGCTTCGTATCGTATTTATGTAGTCCTTTGCGAGTTTCCTCTCTCTCTTTTTTTACTTACTCGACAAATGCAATCTTCTACTATCTTATTCATGGACGTATTGAAGAAGGTAAAAATTTATTTTACAACACTACGGTAAGCTTTTTATTTTTGCTATTCATAACGTAATGAAGATATTAAAATTAAATGATAGAATTTTATTTTGATTTCAAATATAAAAAGTATCTCTACAAATCCGCATTGTTGAAACAACTTTTATCTTCTTCGATGTATGAATAAGGCATTACAAAAACGTCTATCTATGGCTGATGTATAACATAGGAGACGACTAAAAATGATTTTTCAATATGAAATATCTGTTCAAATAGAATATCTGATGCAACTTGTGGTGCTCTTGCTAATGATATATTGAACAATAAAATTAGCTAAATATAATGGAAATATTGAATCATATATCATAGGGAAAATTTCGACTGAGAACAGACACGAAACAGTATGAAAAAATAAGAAGTTGAATATTTTTGTAAGAATGAAAAACGACATATTGTGATTGTATGTATTCATCAATATAAGCTAAACATATCAATGAATTCATTTGAAATTTTTGACTAGTACACTAGAGACTATAAGTTGTATTCTAATGAAAACAAGATGATTCTAGCTTATCTAGTTTTTGAGATATATATAAAAGAATATAATTATAATTATCCTACCGTAAATACTGATAGTTCAACTAGTGGTCTATAATACTTCATCATTCTTCAGTTGCTGTTATAATATAAGAATTTCGATCAAAACTGAACTGTACTATATATTCAAATAAGAGTTATTCATGATAAATTGTATTTTGTTTTTGACATATGAACTCTACTTCTTAGAACAGTTGAAAGACTATATAAATGATGTCATGAAGATCAAAACGATTTTGAAGATGAAGAAAGATCTATCAGGTCTATCATTCAGACCATAAAATGTATTTATTCTTTACTACTTTTCATTTCTTGTGAAAGTCTTTTAAGAATTTTCTCAATCATTTTTTTTTATCCAATTTTCTTGCGATGAAGTTCTCAGTGAATAAAAAATAGAACATTTTTTCCTATAATATTCCCCATAAAATTTCAATGAATCGTACATCTCCGAATTTCTCATTACAGTCTTAAGTTAGAATTTGAATATTAGATAATTCATCGATCATGTTACTAAGTGCTTCATCATAGGTCTCAAATAACCGATTATATCAACTAATTAGATAAGAGTAATGCGGTGTGAAGTTATGAATGCTATTTGTAACTCAACAGAACTTCCTCGGGAAGATCAAAACAAAATGATTTCAACTCGGCTTCGATACTTTTAATTGGTGTTGAAACAAGTATTTTCCCAACTTCTGTTTTTCAGATCATCATGATACAATAGAACAACTTTCGATGCATCCGAAGAGAAAATTTCCAAGGTCTACATAAGTCTTTTGTTTGGCACTGCATTGTTTTCATTTACTTTCAAATGTTTTCATCTATCTCATTAAAATATTAAAGTTTTGTACACAATTTATCTAAACCAATCACAACAAAATAGTGATAACAATATGCATCACCATATGTTTTGACTCGGAATTGTTATTTAATAAAAAAGTGTTAGTGAAGAGCTTATTTGAATTAGATGATCGTATAAATGTTGATATATTTATGAATAAACGACCATATTCTATGGATAGAAACTAATCATCATGTCGACAATATTTATCATTATATGAATTATAAGAATCTATTAAACATATTTTTCTTAGTGATACTGTTTAATCATTAACGAATAGTTGTTTATCAAATTATTTTGATAAATATGGTAAAGTTTTATCACATACTATAGTAAAAGATAAAAGTAATAACACATTTTGGTTATGTATTAGTAGCATTTAATGATGAAAGATGTTGTTGATAGAATTATACAAGATAAATCACATAATACTGATGATATACCATTAGAAGTACAAAAATTGAAAGGTCTAACATATAATTGTCAACAATCGTTATCAAGATCGCCAAGATGAAGATATGTGGCAATTAAAGATGAGATATTAGATGATAAATGTCGACGTTACGATCAATGAAAACTTGAGTGTACTTATTTACGTTGTGATTTAGCATATTTAACAGCTGAGTAAGTTTATTACATAGTATTTTTTTGTTCTTAATCTTTCAGTAACACTGAACAAATGAATTACGATGTTAATTTATATATTAAGTTTACATTTAAATACTTTTTTCGGAATTTCGAAAAGCAAAAACAAAATAGTTTGATTTCTTTATACTATTTGAATGATATTTATAAACACATAATTGTCATACAATTCATATAGTAATCGATACGACAACTTGATTAAGTATCCTAACTCAGACCTAGTTCTTATTGGTATTCTGTTAGTATACTTCAGTAGAGTTTAATAAAATAAAAGTAGTGACAAAAAAAAACAGACATATTTATATATTATTTAAAGGTCTTTTATTTAATTCTTTTTTTAAAGATACATAATTGCCGAACTATTCAAGAACATCATAGTATTCCAGTTATCTTTTCATGTTGTCAGTTGTTTATAACCTAAGAACTGAAATATCTATTTAAAAAAGAAAACTGTTGTTTTTCTTCTAGTGATCTTAATATGAATTTATTATTGTTCATCAATAATAAATTCATCCTAAGCTTGTTATGATTTATTCGGTATTATAAATCGTCGTGCTAGTGCATGGTATGAAAATTAAAGATCTTATAAAAGGCTTTTATTTTATAATGAATCAGCTCAAACTGATATTGATAAAGAATTTTGTCTATATCTAGTTTGATTGTTTCTTTTTCGGGAGATTGAAAACATTTTGATGATAAATATATAGTTCATTATTATCATATGATAAAGAACTTGTTCGATTTTATGTTTATGCTTTTTTTTTTTTATTATTGTCGTCGTAGCTTATTAATCAATCATAAGATTAATGAACAAAAAACAACATCGATATCAATGGATTCATCATCTGTGACAGATGTACAGGATCTTTTACAATAAAGAAACCTAGTAATCCATGAGACTATTTAACTATAGGATAATGAAATGCTAATATGACATTGCAATTTTCTTTTTTCTATATTTCGACAACGTATTGTAGATTTTTAGCGATTGAGGTTTTAATTGATTGAACAAATTAAAATTGATTAAAGGTGAAAATCAAATTACGATTGAGATAATCAAGGATAATCAAAGCATCAGGATGTTTTTTAATCGGATTATCCTGCAAAAGGTACGGTTGTCATAGGAAAAATGAAGTTTCTAAACCGGTAATCAAAAATAATTCAGATTGTGTTAGGTGTATTTTTCACCGAATTTCACAAGTGTTAAAAAACGAATACGATTAAATGGACAAGTTTGTTTTTCACAAAGTCTAGTAAAAATATCATATTCATTTTACGGCATGTTACTCGATAGTATAATTATAAGTGATGCTTGAAGAGACAATAAATCGGCAAAAATTCGTAACGCGTCAACTCTAGTGCCGGAAAATTAAAAAACCGAGTTGTAATATCAATACTNTACGATATACTAATTAAGAAAGCTTACATAGCAGCTTGTGAACATAAGTAAAAATCAAATTGAGATGGGTGTGTTATATTAACATCTACAACAGTACCCTCTTCGACAAAATTCCATCGGCAAGTCTCGTATTTCTGTAATAATAGCATCTTTGAGCGCTTGAATAGTTCGATGTTTTGTTCCATATACACGATCTTTGATGAAACCCCATAAAAAGAAGTCGGTCGGAGTCAAATCCGGAGACCGTGCTGGCCAATCAACTGGTCCACGTCGACCGATTCATCGATTGGGGAACGTTCTATCCAAGAAGTCTCGAACAGATTGAGCATAATGAGCCGGTGCTCCATCATGCATGTAGAACGTTTTTCTTAAATTCATTTGAGATTCAATAGCAGGAAGAATTTCTTTATTCAGCTTTTCAAGATAACTGTGTGCAGTCACAGTATCGCGAAAGAAGAACGGACCGATAATGTCTCCAGACCAAATTCCCGCCCATACAGTAACTCCCAGAGCATTCATATCTTGCGTAATGACGATATGAGGATTTTCTACAGCATAGTAAACACAATTGTGCCGATTGATGTGTCCATTCAACTTGAAAGTAGCCTCATCGGCCCAAACAATTCGGTCGCACATAGAAGAATCGTCAGCAACCAAGTTCAGGAAAATATCGGCAAATTCGCAACGTCGATCATAAATACATGGGGCATGATTTATTTCGGTCCGAAATCTAACAACGATATAATCGAAATTATAAAGAATTTTGAGCAACAATTACCATCAGTGAGTTAAGAATTTTATCGAATGATCAATTTATTAGATTTGTATTCCTAACAGCTACTAAGGAGATACGGTATTGGAATCAATTCAAACCCAGTGGTCATGGCTAAGCCAAATCGTAAAGATGACATTGACAAAACATTCACAAAGCTTAAGAGTAAAGGTTGGCAATTGGTCATTGTTATCTTAAATGACACTGCACCCGAAGTTCATAGTTATGTTAAAAAATTAGGAAATCAAAAACTTGGTTTAATCACTCAATGCGCTAGTTTGCAAGCAATACACAGAAATTCAGAAAGACTCCATATGTGTATGTAATGGTATTCTTTTTTCTAATGAATTTAATTAATGATAGAAAATTTTATTTTTCAAATGTAGAAAATTTGAGTCAAAAATTGAATGCTAAAATTGGTGGGATAAATGGTATCGTTAATCTAAAAGCTGCTCTTAACCAAGCATCGAATAATGATCGTTTCATGTTTTTCGGTGCTGATGTAAATATTCATGTTTTTGAATACATCGAAGTTATTCACTATCAATAAATACATATTATTATTATTCTAGGTCACTCATACAACCTCTTCGAAAGAGAAACCATCGATTGCTGCTGTTGTTAGATCATGTGATCCGACATGTAGCCGTTATGCGGCTCGTCTGTGTGAACGTAAATATTTTTAATCGATTATTCGTTCAGACAAAAATTATCTTTTCTGATTTTAGAATATCCAAAGACAGATCGATACTCAATAGAAATTATCAAAGACATGGATAAGATGGTAATTGATTTACTTCATGTATTTGCTCGTTCATGTGGCAATACACTACCAAATCGAATCGTTTTTTATCGAGATGGTGTCGATGACGGACAATTTCAAAAAGTACTCGACAATGAAATTAATAAAATAAAATCTGCTTGTTGAGGTAAAGAAAAAAAAATTCTTTCTATTCTTTGAACAATCAAAAGTGTTTCTCTATTGAAAATAGTTGTTTACAGACAGAATCCCCTGCCGAGATTAACATTTATCATTGTTAAAAAACGACATAATACACGTTTCTTTACCTATGATGGCCAACGAACAGACAATGTGTTGAAGCGGGTACTGTTGTAGATGTTAATATAACACACCCATCTCAATTTGATTTTTACTTATGTTCACAAGCTGCTATGTAAGCTTTCTTAATTAGTATATCGTAAGATCGCTATATTTTTTTTTCTATTTTAAAGAATGGGAACATCACGTCCAGCACTTTATCATGTGCTCCATGATGAAAATGGATTTAGCAGTAATGATATCCAACAATTAACATACTGGGTATGTGAACTTGATTATTTTAAAATTTTCAAAATTCATTCAATGAACAGGAAATAATAAATAGTATTATTTTTATTAAGCTCTGTCATACAGATGTTCGATGTTCGAAATCAGTTTCCATTTCGGCTCCAGTACATTATGCTCATTTAGCTGCGTATGCTTCCCATGCTTACGATTTCGATCATGATAATGAGAAAATTCTGAAAAAATATAAACACTTATAGCAATGATTATTCTCTTTCTGATTTGTACTCTTTTTTTTATAGTGAGGATGATGAAAAGGCATTGGAACCAACCTTACTGGAAGATATACGGACAAATGTCATGATTCTCAATGACAATATACAGAATACGATGTGGTTCGTTTAAGTAAAATAGATAATTTTTATTTCTATTAATATATATTTGTTTTTTTTTTGTATAATAATTTATTTAACTATGAAAAAATAATAAAATAAATCTCATCAAGTTATTTTTTATTTATTTCTGCTTGAAGAATCAAAAAAACAAAATGACTGAAAGAAACAAACATTCAATGATAGAAAAGAAATTCTCATATGAATTTTCTATCGACCTTCTTTTCAATACGAAATAATCGAAACTAGAGGCAATCAATCAAGTAAAAACTACTTTAAGACCTGATGAGTATTTATTTTTCGATTGTCAAGACTCAATACCTTTACTACAAGAAAAACAGTAGTTCTCGAGATTGACTTAAAACTTCTAAGATCGAAGAAAGTGAACTTTTGATGAGAAAATTCGTTTCAACTGATTTTTGTATGCTCCAAGAAGGTCACCTGTGTGATCATGAATGAAGGTATGAAGATGAAGGAGCACTAGAAGCCATATCTTCACTCACATACTTCTCCCAATTGATACTCAAACACTATTCGCTTCATTAAAGGTCGGTTATACAATATTCGGCAACGGCACCATTGCTTATGAGTTTGAAAAAAATAACATCGTCACTTCTTGAATTCTTGCAATTGAAAGATCAAAATCATATGCGTTAAGTTCATGATTACTCTGGATGCCAATATTTCACTTGAGCTTATCTTAGAATATCAGATAACAAAAAACAGAGTTCATAGTACTCCAATCAAGAGTAAGTAAACAAAAACTCAAGAAATATTCCTGTAAATAATCAGTATTACCAGTTCATCAAGATGAATATGACACACCAATAGGCATAAACTAACGACAATGAACATTTATGTTCAATTCATGCACATACTCATCGAGAAAAGCTGTAAGACCAATCTCTGCAGGACTGCAATCTGAAACACAATATAGCTGTTGTTTCTCATCACCTGTAAGCCGTTTCTATTAATCTATTTTTAGATATTGTGGTTCACAACTCTTTACTTCATCCTGTCAAACGAAAATAAGAAAGCAGTTCATCTATTTCAATGGAATTTTAGTGACATACGGTTTTTAATTGTATATCAACAACATGCGTCACGATTTGTGGCATCTCTAAAATCGGTATGTTACGGTTTGTAGATGGAAGAAGGGGAATCCGAATATCTACCTCTAAACACTTCAACACTCATTTTAGCTCGTGAGTGTGGGTAAGCGTGCAGGTGCAAATATGGATGTGGCTGTGGTTGGTTAGGGGATGGCTGTGGATGTGCAACTGCAATTTTTCAACACATTCACACCTACCCCAAACACCTACATCCAGGGCGAGAAATCGACGTCAGACTGATTTTAGAGCAAAACAGAAGAGAGAATCAACTAACTACGTAGTAGAATCAAAATAAAATCAGTTGAAATTACTGTGAGTTGTCATTCTTAGTAGCTCAGTTTTATTGCACGCAAACATATTCTAGAAGTCAGAAACGTACTTGTCTTACTAAAAATATCTCTTTCTCGAGTATTACCGAATTGACCGTCACTTTTCAATAGCAAACGGTCAATTTCGATCGAACAAGAGTGATCTGGATCCAATAAAAAATTCGAATATCCTTCGTGAAAAATATTAATCCGAATATCCTATAAAGCTTGTTACAATCTTTAATTCACATTTGGTAAGAATTCAAATCAGTCCCGGGATCTACCAGAAAAAGGTTTTGAAAGTTAATCAGTTTCAATGAAGAAAATATTTTAAATGTTTTGTTATATGATTTCGAAAAAACAAAAAAAAAGTTAAATATCATTGAATGTTATCGATTCTTTGTTGAGTAATACGTGCGATTCGAATGTTTGAGATGCTTGAACAAAGAGATTGATATTGGAAACGATATCAGCTGTTTCGAAGTTACGTTGGAACAACGTCATAACTTGTATAGCCTTCAATGACGTATCACTCAGTTCGAAAATGATACATCAACATCCATCTTGACTTCACACGACCCATGAAAGAGTAAGACAGATGCGGCTCGAGTATGGTGTTTGTGTCGTGTCAACATTATTGGATTAGTCTTGATTAGTCTGTTGTTCAATATCGTCAAGCTTATCTAAAACGAATTTCTGAAATTGTTTACTTTTTACATTTAACTCATATGTTGCAGTATGAGAAAATTCTTGATTAAAATAATTTTCAGAAACGAAAATAACCCGATCGTATTCAGTAACTTTGCTTAGATCGCTCTTTTTTATTGGTATCATCGAAGTGATCTCGTTCAATGGATTCCATTCAAACTACGTTGGTGATAATCTAACGAACAGCTCGTCGAATAAATGAATAAAGTGTTCAGCAAGCCTATTGATGGTATCAGGTCAAACATATCTATTGAATAGTTTCAAGTGAAACTCAATACCTTAGACGTACGGTCATTGGGAAGAACGAGTATTAAATCGAATTTGTTTATAGTAATCTTCAGATATGAAAACATAGTTTAGAGATAAGAATTTTCATTTTCTCTCTTGAGAGAAATCAGCGAGCCTAGTGTTTGGAGCATAAACACAGTCTGAAGAAAACGTCATTGTAAGTGAGTGGTAGGCACGCGAAATAAATTGAGTAGTTCAGTGTGTGGCAATAGAGCACGACTCATGATATCGAACATATATTGTCGCACTCCATAGACAAGTCCACAGACTGTGAGCGTATTTTTATTTTTAGTCATAAGTTGGCATGGAAGTGTGTTGACAAACATGCCGATTATAGATTCAAATCGGGATCTGCACTGATTCAAATTGGCAACACCCACACTTGTGTCATGCCTATGTGCAGAGAGCTTAGCAAGAGACACAACAAAACAGGTCAAACCAAGTTGAAATAAAATGGCATTATACTATTCAGCTCGATTAAGCATTGAATGATAGATCTTCGTCGGTACACCGATGGTCAGTGGTGTTCTGAAGTTTGTGCGTCGAGCTGATGGTAATCTCAAATCGAATGGTAAGTCATCTTGCCGATCCTATTTATAGGCTTGAAGAATCTCTCGCCAATATGCTTTCTCTTTGGAGATGTTCGTTCGATAAACATTCGTCATTAATCTGATATACAATAGGAATATTGAAGATACCGAAAGATCGATGAATAGTCATAAAAATGGTGAGTGTAGATGTAGGATATTGGTGGAAGTGTGAGTGTGAGTGTCTGTTAGTTAGGAAAAATATGCAGCCACTGCCACACACCACATCCAGCTACACCCATGCCCTCCAGTTGAGACTGAAAAAAAGAATGCTAGATTGATTTGTATTCAATATAGAACAAATAGAATCAAATGATCAACAAATTGATAATGTTGAAAGTATAATTAAACACAGATGAAGTACATAGTTTTGGATCAATTATTCTCATCGGTGAACATAAATCTAATCTAAATAATTCGATGTTATAACGCGTAACGCTTATAGTTGCACAGAAAACTTCTTAATGACTATTTCAGAACCTTTGAATAGAATTTTAAGAAATTCAATAGAGATATGTATTAAATTAGACAGTTTCATAGGTACTCGTATATGAATATTGTGTGAGAATTAAAACAATTCTTCACAAATTAAATGAGATAGACGATAGCATAGGTATTGGAACGGCTAGGCCTAAGTAGACTTGAGCAGACTCTAGCTTGGATAAGTAATAGTTTACATGGACTCTAATTATTTTAGAAGTTTTCTATTACTATATAACTGTCATTTTCTACTGATGAACGATGTGTTCTTACAAAGTCAGTCTTCATTTTATCTACTATTTTAATGGTCATCAATAAGCATACGGGATGAAGTCACAAGAGTAGAAAAGTGAAAGTCTACATTAGATTCACGTTTCATCGTTTAGAGGAGACTCAAACACTTTTCTCCTTCCATTAAATTGATAGATTCGAACAACATATCATATTTTTTCGTTGCTTCCGACAGTGAATACTAACATATTCTGCAACAAGCAGGTCTTGAAAACGTTCTTGAGAGAGCATTGAGTTTTACAGAGGTAAATATTGATTTATAGATTATCAATGAATCAAATTATTGAGTTTTCATTAAAAGTGAAGAAGAAATGTACAAAAAATCTGAGTAATATTAACAAGAATTTATCAAAATTTTCATTGGTCTTCGGCAACTATTTTGTTTTATTAAACATTTCTACTTCGCTATTACATTTTGTTCCGTTAAAGAACATATGAATCTCTCCTTTCGAAAGTCGCATTTTGATGAATACAAATGTTAGCATGTTTCTTCAAATGCATGTTTTTTTTTATACAAGTTACCAGATTTTTTTTATCTCCACCACTGTTACACATTGCAAAATGATAGTTCGATAGAAGAAACAATAATTGAATTTCATCTGAGTGACATTCAAAAACTCGTTTTCTCTCATTTTCAAGTTCGAGATGAGCATCTAATAAAAAGTATTGAATCTTCTCTAGAATGAAAACATTCTGCCGACTTTCATAGGTACAGTGTGTTTGTTAAAATCTCATTTATGTGTATTTGAAAAAATCCAATATCCAAAAGCACTGAAATGAGAAAGAGAAATCTTTGAAATGAAATTTTCGTTTTGTCCTGGTGATAGTGCGAATATCTTTGTCTTCCAGCGGTATTATCAACTCTACTTTTCTTTGAAGTCTAATTTTCATTTTGTCTTGAATGTAGAATGTATTATTTCAAAATTTGTTCTCATGAAATTCGAAAGGTCCTTAAATATACATTTCTTTTTTAACAATTCAATCGACAAATAAACAATTTTTCGGATATTTTCTTGTGAAGTTTTGAGAAACACGATCTGAAACTTGTGCTGAAGTATAGAGGCGGAAATGTGAACCCACTTTTTCCAACAAACCGTGTTTTAATAATGTCTTGTTCAAATTTATGGGCTACTTCCTTATTGCATTTCTGAAGAATTAAGTAATAAGGTAATAAAAAAGTATGTTCCTAAATAGATAGAATAAAGCAATCTCTTGTGAATAGCAACGGCAACTACGACATGTTTTACATTTTAATCCATAGGGATCACACTAACAACTTTGCTTTAGTCGATATGATTTATAAGCATATTTAAATATAATCTTTAACTCTAATTTCACTAACTTTTTTTTTCGTTATCTTTATTTCGTTTCGGTCATGATCTGGTCCGTTACTTATATCTTAATTAGAATATTTTTTAATTCTTTTATGATACTCGCTTCATTTTTTAGATGAATGTTATCACTCAAGCTAGATAAAATATTTCATAGTCGTGTGCCTTTAGATATATTTCGCCCATTGCTACCAAGTTTCGCTGCATCTTGTTTGTTCCGTCACTTATGTCATGTCTATTTAAGTTTTTATACATCAAACACTGATAAGAAGTGAAAATTAAGTCATATGATAAGTGAAGAAAAAAAACAGTGAAATATGTATTACTGCACAATATATTAAACAAACAAAAGAAGAACAGGATTGAAATATGCATTACAAGTTTATCCATCGTCTATTACACATTGAACTCATTTATCAAATGAAGAAGTTATATACATCTCTTGACGTATATCTAATTGTATTGAAAAATATATTATGAAAATATGAAAACTTAGAGTTTGTACAATACAAGGTGTTCGAAAAGTAAGGTCGAAAAAGAAATGTGAATATCTCTTTAATCAGTCAAGCAAATTACGTGAAGTATTCATAGTTTCATATCATATTCATTGAAATTTTATTTCATATAAATTTCGCTTTAATAGGGGTACAAAATGATCACTTAGAAATGCAATACACTAATCTATTTTTTTGTTTGAAAATATCTGCAAAAAATCATATAAAATTGAGTTTGAAACTCTTTTTGTCTTTCTTGTATATTTTCATTTTCCGCTTAGAAGGATCTTTAACAGATGTTATGGATTCACGGAACTGTTGAAATTATTATACAATCTTGAAAAGGCAACGTTTCTTCTGTAATGTTAGAAAACTGAGTGTTTCTATATTTTTTTCACAGTAACAGTATCAATGGAGAAAAATCTTTTACTATACATTAACCTATTTTTTAGTTCAGTAGCAAGAAAATTATGCTAGACGAACTCCATGCTATTTCACAAAGATCAAGTTCCTCGGCATTTTAGCCGTGAAGCTGTTGAGTTTTGGAGAACATTTCTCCAGCTAAGTGCAATGAAAGAAGTAATTTATTTCAACGGGCATCACAACCAGCTGAGCTGATGCGACTCAGTAGTTTTTTTACAAGAACATGTAGAGAATAATTTTTATGAGACATCTACCAATGATCTAGCTGAATTGAAAATAGAAATCCAAAATAAAATCGAAAAATACTTCAAACTAAACTTTACTGTAAATGATGTTTTTATAGCTCTTTTCAGAAAGAATATATTAGTGTATTGCATTTATAAGCGATCATTTTGTACACAAATTAGAGACAAATTCATGTAAAATAAAACTTCAATGAATATGATATGGAACTAGGAAAACCCTCATTTTAAATCGCTTGAATACTTAAAGAGATATTCACATTGTTGTTTGACCGAACTTTCGAAATACCCTGTGTATTTTGAAGTAAATATGTTAGTAACATAAAGATGAGTGTTTTTTTATTTATCAACAACGTCATATAACAAAAATAAAAAGAAGACAAATTTCATAAAAGAATGTCTGTTGTAATTTTCATTTGAAAATGATTTTATCAAATATATGTCGAATTGTACAGTCAAAAAAAGTTTTCTCAGGATGCAGAAGTCTCTCAAAATCGATTATTGCTTTTAATCTTTGGATGGTCGTGTTATTTGCATTCGGTATACATATATATAAGCAAGAAAGATAAAGAATATATGCGGTATTATTCATTGAAATATATCGTACGATATTCTCTAAATGATTCTCTGTTGTACATCCTATCTCGAGATATTGCATACCAAAACAAAAGTTCATAAGAACATGAACTTGTTCTACTTCTACCATGTTATCAAGTTTTACTTTTGTGATTTTGTTAGTGATCGATACCAGTAACAGTATTTCAGTATTTTCTACAGAGAAGATGCTAACTGGCACGAGTGGTAACGATAACACTTCCAATGACTGAAGATCAGGCGTTAGACGTATGATGTTGATCAACATGTCAATTGCAATCTCATTACAGTGAATATTTAAATGAGTAAAATTCATTGCCAATATATAGGGGATCATGTAATCAATATATGGTTGATACCTACCAGTAAAGGAATTACCATCAATAGTAAGTTCAGTGCGTGAAATAGATTGAATGAAAGAATTGCTAGCCTCTTGTTGACGAGCTATGTCAACATGTTTCGATGCTTGTTGATGAGTATTTCCATCCGAATATATATCAATTTGCTGATAACTTCCATTTTCGCCGATTCCAGTATCGCTGACTAATTTTTTTGACCAAAAATTACCAAGTCAAATATGAATCATTCTATATTAAGAGTTTTTTCCAATTTAATAGGTTTATTAACAAACTCATTAATTACCAACTGAGTTGGTAACCATCTGACTTGGTAACTAAGTCAGTTAAAAACAGATGCCGCCAGATGAAGGTTTCATCTGTCTTAATTTTTACGTAAAATAGGATGTGGGTGTGGGTATGTGGCTACTCGTATAATCCGATACCCAAACCCACACCTCACACCCACACTCTTTTTAACTGACTTAGTCACCAAGTCAGATGGTTACGAACTCAGTTGGTTATTAATCAGTTTGTTAATAAACCTATTAAATTGGAAAAAACTCTTAATATAGAATGATTCATATTTGACTTGGTAACTTTCGGTCAAAAAAATTAGTCGGCCATATTGGAACCGGTGAAAATGGATGTCAGCGAAAATGGAATAATTCCCAAAGTTCGAATCTGTTCATCATCATATGTTACGAAAACATACTAAATAATTTCAACGCGTTCAACGAAATATCAATGATCCTTTCGAAAGAAACAACGGCTAATGAAATTTTACCGATTTACTCAGTTTAATCAGTCTTAATTACTCTGATTCGGCGACTAAGCATGGTTTCACTCATGTCTTCAAACTAAATCAATATTCACATTTTTTTAACGTTCATGTAGAAAAGACAAAAATAATCATTTGGAAACAAACATGTTTACATATTTTTATTACAATAAATTTTAAAAAGGTGTGATTTTGGATGCATATCTTGTGTTGATAGACTTTAACTCCCACATCCAAACATTCGTAGCCGCATATTCCTTGATAAATATGAATGTACGAGCAAAAACGCTCTTTGATATTTTATTATTTTCATTTTAGCAATCAAGAAAGCGGGGAAACAGAGAATGAGTTCCTATATATCAGTCCTTGGACAACCCTCTACTCCTTAATCCACACCCTTTATGACATTCAGAAAATTTTCGACATTTTTGGGAGTATATATTTTTCTGCTATCTTTTCTTCGGTAAAGCGATACACACCAAACTAGCAAGAGGACGCTGCTTATATTTACAATCGAACGCTACCAAAACATTTCCGATATGGGTATAGGTATGGATATGGATGAACCTAAGCCGCATACCCATATCCTGATAGTACTTAGCCAGATAATTATCTTATCTAAATTTTAGCTGCTTAGAATGACAGGATGAGTTAGAGTAGATTAAAAAGAAGAGCATCACATACGGAAGAAATCAGAACCACTTCCCCAGATGTTTAATCACTCCTAACACGATCTGAAATGAACGACGATAGAGAAACGGTGTTTGTAGAGGGGATTTAAAGCATCTTCTAAGCTATCGGATAGAAAGCGGAGTTCAATTATGTGTTCGTGTTAAATAAGATCAAAAAAAATATCGTCATGATGCATTGACACTTTTTTGCACGCTTTATGGATCAAGTTATTCTATCAACCGGTCTATAAAAATAGTCATGATTCGTAAAAATGCGTCTTCTCAGTATGAAACCTGTGCAGTTTTTGTCCAAGAGCTTTCAGTTAAAAAAATCTGTCTGATGACGTATCGACCACAGGAACACTTTATGAGGCTAACTCTCAATCGTATTCTATGACGGAACTTTTCAATCACTAGTTTATGCGTTTCCAGGATTTCATGATGTTACAAAAACTCCAGCATAACCTGTACTGAAATGTTACTGTTTCGAATATGTGCTCATTCCATTTCTTGAAATACTTCAAATTTGTTGTACATGTTAAAATCCTAAATCCTGTTGTTTTCCGTCTTGTATCATTTTCGTGAACCAATTTTCAAGAATCAAAATATTAAAAGTTCCTTGTTGAATACTAATGGTACTATCTAATGTAGTTTGATATTCGTCTTTTTTTTTGTTTTTAATGCATTGTACTGAGAGCAAACCTGTTGTCATAAATGATAAACATCTTTTTACTTCGTAACTTTATTCGAGAATTGCAAACTTGTCATTTGGCTACGATCTCGTAATGTTCGTTTCAGTTCAGCAGTTTGTCAAAGTGTATGTTGAATGATTTTTTTCACATTTATTTGATCTCTATTCGAGTCTCAGGGACTAACTTTTTTCTAAATAGTGATACAAGATCTACCGTAAGTCTAGGTCGCAAAATCACACTGACAGATTGTGAATCAAATTTTGTTACAATAGTTTATGAAAAGTCAATAATCAGTCGAAAAAAAGAATTATTCATCAGCTGTTAATGTTAATGCATCGTCAACCGTAATTTTAGGCTCTGGTGGTTGTTGAGGTGGCTTCTGACCAGGTGGTAACATCTGCATTCCACCAACAAGAAAGGAAATTTTGACAAATTTGTTTCCAGGTACCGCGATCTAAAACATTGACATGAAAAAGGTGATTGATGAAATATAAAACGGTTTATTGTACCTTGAAATCATAGATTATGCCGCAGGCTTCAATGGCACGAGCACGCACTGGTTTCAGCTCAAAATTGGACGGAATTGATGGAAATTTTTTTCGCACTTCGCTATCAATAGACTTCTTGTACTAAAACATCGATGTACCGATAGAATATATGCATGAAAGTAATGAATACATTGATTTACCTTGTTGAACAATTCCAAGTCTTTATCCGTTACAGACTTAAAACAAAATCTGGAGTCAGTCATTTAAATATCTGCTTCAATCGATTACATAAAGTAAATGAATAAATACTCGTATATTTATATACAAATAAATCGGTTCTCCTTCCATTCTCTCCTTGCAAGATGTCTGTCGTCGCTTGTACTTGTGCACTTTCGTCAAAACATAAACAACCATACATTTTTATCCATAATTCCTATCAATATAGTCTTGGAAAACCGCAAGACACATTTATTTTGTCAATCATCTGCATGAATAAGCAAAACAAATATGATGTTGTTGTTGTGTTGATCAACGTCCTCTTGATTACATTCGTTTCTCCTCTGCATACAAATAAACGATAAAAAACACTGATTTCGAACGTAAAGTTGCAAACAGCGTCAAAATTGAAAATGTCCAACAGCAAAATATCGAAAGAAAAACAAGATTGAAAATCAAAATATCGACAATGTTGGATATTAAAGGAGACAGTTATTAATTTTCCAATACCCCATATTCTATCAATTTACTCTGTCAAATGGAAGAAAATATAGATTTTCATATTGCTGTTGAGTGCCAGAATAATAAAAATATATGAAAAATTTGTTATATTTTCAATCCGGATACATTGAATAAATGTAAAGTATACATAATATCGACTTTATTTTTTACATCTTTTGCGACCAAGAAAAAAAGTTCTGATAAGTTTTCTTAAACACTGATTTCTGAAGTATTGAATCGACTTGAAAGCACTTTAAACACAGATGTTCGGAAGAGAGGATACGTAGCCTTCAAAAGTTGGACAAATTTTCATTTTTGTTCCAGAGAAATTTCAGTATTTTATTTTATTTTTCTCACTTATTGTCAAAAAAATGCTTGGAAGCCCCTGTCCTAAACTTGGCAACTTTAGGACACCACGACTTTTAAGTCTATCTTGCGTGTATGGACGGATAATAAAAGAGAGAACTTGATGAGTAAAAATAGAAACATTAATCAATGCATCTGTGGACAAATTGTTGAATAATAAGGTAAGAGAACAAATAGACTATGCGTATGAATCATATTTTTTTCTTTAGTACAGATTAGAAGTTTTTCGACATCGTGCCGTGTTGATATTTTTTTCTTCAACTTATTGAGTGTTGACGTTTATCCTTCGACATAATGTAGTTTGACGTTGTTTTTTCATGTTATTCCTATTCGATATTTCGTGTCAACGATATTTTGATTTGCAATGTTTTGCCACCTAACTGTTTCAAAAGGGGATGAGTATGAATTCAAGTGAACGGAATATCCACACACACACACACCCAAAAATTGAGCCTACTAACCATGAACTTATTTCAAATCGTATAATAATTATAATATAAATACTTGAATTTTATCAAACGTACCCATCCTAGCTCTGATAGTGTGTATCATTTGATTAAATCAGGCGTTGATATAAAAATGTTTGATTTAATTGACAGTTGTAAATACAATATCCTTGACGAAATTATCCAATTTCTTTTGATAATACAATGTCATCCCACTCGTATCATTTTTATTATGCTGTAAACATAATAAAAAATAGTATTTTTTTTTCTTAGATATCATGCTTATTCTTTTTTTGCTAATTGCATAATATCAGCCTGCATGTTTTCTCCTTATAAAGTAAAATGTGCTACTTTGTTTTTTGAGCTCACAAATAGAATTTTAGTTTATTAGAATAAACAATGAACGACACATCATCATTCATCCAGTTTATATACGGAAATCAAACTATTTATGAAATATACTCAATCAGTGGAAAATGTACATTGCTGACATACACACTTTTCTTGCCAAGAGAAGATTCTATCTTCATTATGTTTGCTATCAAAAGCACAACTTTTCTAGAAAGGAAAGATCAATTATTTAGAATACATCAAGAAAATAAGCGATAATTCGAGTGACAACATACTTTCCTCTACTAGATTCACTCGTATGAAATATTATTCTCAACTCTATTGACATCGGTCTATAGATCATTGTTATTTGTGAAAACATCAATATTTATTCTACTTATCTTAATATTTCATCAATGAATAAAGCCAAATAATAAAACTCTTTTGTTTTTCTTTGTTTTAACATTTTATTTTTTGGCATATTAATTCAAATATAACTGGAATCTATAATAATACATGTTGGTGTTTTTTAAAAGTTTATTTGTCGGCTATTGCTTTTATTTACTCGCTTTATTCAAATTCATTTGAAGGTCTTCATTATTTTTTCCAAATCATTTACTACACTATTCTTTTTTCATTTCAATATTTAGGTGTATTTTTAGCTATGATTAGCTATTTTTATTCTCATATTTGGCAAGTCTGCATGTAGTAGAAGTACTGTGTATTATTTATTTGGTTGTCGAGTAGTATGAAAATCATTTAACATCGTCGACATTTATATTATCTTTTTTTGGTATGAGTGTTGTAGCCAGATATTATTCCTTTCTTTATATTTTATGGTCAAAAACACCAAATCGAATAAGTTCGACAACATAGCAATAACACCAATTGACTTGAAATAATTTGATGTTTCTTTCTTTCAAACAAGATTAATATTTTTCTTGTTAAACATTCGAAAGTTTTATTTCGCAGGCCATTCACAAAAGAACCATATGCAAAAAAGAAGCTATGCAATATAGAAATAACACTAACAATAGACATTAATAAATATATTTAAAAAGCAAGATGAAGACATAAAGAAAGAGAGTTTTTACTCAGTATCTCTTCCGACAGAGACAGAAGTATTATATTTAAAAAAATATTAAATGTGAAACACAATAATGACCTGTTTTTTAGACCAGCTAAATTTTTATACTCTTCTAGTAATCGACCAAGCGAAATCTGTTCTACAAAGTTCTTGTTTTGATAGTGTACTTTGTAAGGGTGTGGATATTGATCTTCTCTTCTACTACACCGACTCACACCCATATGTCCTAACGACACTATTCAACGAATTGATCGGACAAGCGTTTGGTGATGAACAACATAGCTACGAGAAAGTGAACGATCAAATAAGGATAGCAGATGTGCGACGGCGTTGGAAACAATTTCTTATCTTTGCTAAACAAAATTCATTTCCGTATTTATTAACTTTGAATCACATAAGTTGATCAACAAATTCCTCGCTATGTTACTAAAGGGTGCGGATGTGGGTGTGAAATGTGTGCAGGTATGAGTTTGGCTGTGGATTATGTTTTCATCAACACTCACACCCACACCCACCCAATTGCTTGAATGAGAAACTGTATCAAATACTGTCGTTCATTGAAGTAGCAGTTATTATTCATATTTGCGTTCGAACAAGAAAAGAAGCATAAGATATGTGAAGAAATATATTCATGGTTAATCATTGACTTTTTTAAGTTTTTTTTTTTATTTTCAAGGCAAAAGCGGCAATGGACATTAGAAAGAAGCTGTATTCTCTTATCATCACACTAAATAATAGCAAACATTATTACGATCATGATAATTTGTGTCATTAAAATGATGCAATACTTGTCTTCAATAAAACTGTTAAGACGATATTCATCTGAATTATAATTACTTATATTAGTCTGATTGAATTCTCTCTAATTCAAATAAAATTTTCATCGCAATTCATTTCGGTTGATACGTGAAGATATTTTGGCAAGGAAACATTAAGAACAATGAAAGCATAGCCAAACTTTCAACTTTTAATATTCTCAGCATTTCAGTCATGAACTGTGTCTAATTCTCGAAATAGAGATATGCACCAATGAATGTTTTGACATGATGAATATGAATCTTATTTTAACGCATGTATAAAATGATTGTACTTCATCAAATCACTGATAGGAATGTCAGTTTCATCAAATATGAAGGAATAGAGAAATAATAATTAGTAAAACATATACGTACATACATGTTAATATAGTTATACATTTTATGGAGTAAAGTATATTATAGAAGCCAAAAAGCAAGAAAAGACTCGTTGAATTTAAAAAAAGATATGACTGTGAATGAAGAGTAGACTCACACTCGTACCCTTCATCATTTGTTGATGTCTTCTTTTTTGTGCACATTGCCAAATTTTTTCAATTTACTCTAATAAAATTTTTTTTTCGTTGGTATATTCGGTGGTAGTTGAAAGATAGTTTTGTATTCTTTGAATGCATGTAAATAATATGAGCTACTAAAGTGAAACGATGGACTTTTCGAATGTATTTTTATACAAATTTGCAAGGATATCAGCAATCAACCGATTATCTGTTATCACATTTATGGTAGTACTAAGGTTTTCTAACGCTGGTCTGTAATGATGTAATGTAGCGTGAACATATTTTCATATGTTATTCCCTGAATGGATAGTTTTCTAGATGTATTACTGGTATGTATTCATTCATTTTGTTTCACGATGAAAAAAAGAAAGAGAAAACTTCAACAATCAACGGGAGGCTTAAAGTACGAAAAAATGCCTTTGAGAAAAAGGAGAATATATGTTTTAGTTAGTTTTTACGAAAAACTTTGTTTACTTCAGTTGATAGAAGTGCTTAGGTCAAAAGCAGGATAGTGTTCAGACGATCCTTCTTTTATAACTGCAGCTTTTCAAGCATATACATTATGTATAATCCTAAAATCAGTTACTGCAGAATATCTGTTATAAAAGTTGGTTGATTTGGGTACAAAAGCTCACAATCAGTATTATACAACTAATTTCTCAATTGAAATTCACTATCATTAATTTGACTACAAAGCCAATACGTATCTAAACTGTTACGTAAGACAATACCATCTCAATACCTATGATTCTCATTTGATTAATATCTCCTGCAGTTGCATCTATTTTTAGAGTTTAGAATAATATTTTATTTAAAACGACAATAATCTACATTTCAATTGTCATAGACGGATATGCAACAAGACCTGAGGATGAACCTGAAAAAATACGAGTTCGTCGTCCAGTGATGGTTTCATATTGATTAATAATACTTTGTATTGCTTCAATAGCTTCAGATGAATTGTGAGCGAGTACAGCAACTGTACCTCCTCCACCACCGCCAGTGATTTTTGCACCAAAAAGAACATTCGTTGATGATTTATGTTGTCGTATTAAACTAACGAGTAACTGTGTTTCTTCACTATTAAGATCACATGATGTATAACCAGCATCAGATTGAAACATCAATTCGCCAAGACTAGAAAGATAATCAATAGATAAATGATGATCAATGTTTAATAATCGTTCAAATAATTGAACACGAAAATTTTCTTCAATAGGATGAGCAGTTGCAGCACGTAATGGATAAATTTCATTAGAATCTACTGGAGTTAATGGATCGAGATGTGATGATGATATAAAATGACTACCAAACATTTTTTCTGGTAACAACATTCGATATTGATTATTAAATTTTGAAAGTGATATTTGACATAGATGATGAATATCATCCGGTAAATTCATTAACTTTTTACCCATAAAAGTAGCTGTACGTGTACGTCGATAGGCAGAACTAGCTGTTGATCGTTTAACACCAGAATCAATACCAAATAATTGAATATTTACAGGTAATATTACATTATGAAATGGTGGATTTGGTGTATGTTGACAAAGAAGTGAAAATAAATGATTAGCACATGCATGAACACATGTCATTTGATCCATAAATCCACATGAACTACCAACAATATGATTTTCAACGTATTGACATAATAGAGCCAGTTCAGTATTCGATATGATATGATCAAGATTTAGGCATGCACTTGCTAAAATCAAAATAATATTAATAGCTATTTCAAATCTTAATTTACGTTTTAAAGTTACCTGCACGAGCAACAGCAACTTCGAGAGCAGCCGATGAGGCTACGCCTTTATTACATGGTACATCAGAAATGATAACTACATTAAAACCGATTGGAATGGATGCTTTATCTAACTTATCAATTAATTTAGATAAAATACCCAGTATATAATTTGGCCAATTCATAGGTTCATCAGATGAAAATAAGCTACTATGTTGTTGTTGTTGATTACACCATGTTTCTAATCGTTTTCGTAATGTATGACTATGATCTAAGAGTAAGTTCATTGGAATTTCACGTTCCCATATGATTAATTTATTTTCATTGATTGAATCAGTGTCAATTCGATCTGTTTGAATACTAATCATGTGAACTGTATTTTTATTAGAAACTTGAACAAATGCATGGGTAGTTTGTGCAATTGGATATTGAAGTACATGAGAACCTGAATAGTCAGCAAAACCTTAAAATAGAATAAAATTACCGATGTATAAAATAAAGCTTTTGTTTATATATATATATATTATCAAACCTCCCATTACATCCAAACGACCAGGCGCACTAGCACTATATATTGGTTTCTTAGATATTGAGAATAATGCTCGTAATTTATCGATGTGTTTCACTAATGGCCAAGCTTTAGATACAGAAGAATTTTGTTGTAATGGTCCTTTTTTCTCAAAAGTAAATGCACGAAATGTATGATAATATTCTTTCGGATTACCAATATCGTATCGTTGACCTTCTAATAGACAACCATGTAATTGTCCGTTCTGTCGAAGATTATTCATTGCTTCACGTAAACCAAGTTCTGAATTGATATTTTCTTGTTTCAATTTTTGTTCATATTGTCGAAGTTGATCAAAAATTGTCGATGGTAAAATATCGATACCAGCTTGGCATAAAAAACGATTTTCAAACATTTGAGATTGAAAACGATTAAGTGCTACTTCAATCGAAGGTTTCTCTATCATATCTGTAATCTGAAAAAATTGTTTATCTTTCATATTCATATTTGATTGTAATAGACCAGTTTCTGAAACTTGTTCTAAATTACATATCATTACTCCTGTAAGACCCACAATAGATTGATTTGAAATATTCTGTCGATATGCATTGAGTAATTGTTGTAAACATGATTGATTATTATTGTTATTCGATTGATAAAGATGATCACTTAGCATAACAACAAATGGTTCATTATCAATATATTGTTCGACTTGTAGAATAGCATGACCAAAACCTTTTGGTGATTGTTGTATAATATAATCAATATTTTGATCAGGATGAGATGAAACATATGATTGAAATAAATCTAATTGTTCAGGTGCAATGACAAATAAAACTTGTTCGATATTAGTTTCTTTAGTAAAGATTTGCTCAAGAAGAAGATCAATTGCTGGGCGACATTTCCATGCAATAGAATCTGATTGTACAATAGGCAAGAAAGCTTTTGGTAATATTGCACTTTGAGGACGCATACGTTTGCCAAGTCCAGCAATAGGAAGAACAACTTTACGTACAACATTTTTTTGAACAGCAATTATTGATGGTAATATATGTTCAATATGTCTATCTTTTTTCAATAGAGTAACAATATGACCTGAAAATGGTGTACGTGATTGAACAGACCAACCAGTCGCTGAAAATAGATCATCCCATTCTTGACGAGTTCGTTCTTTAGCTTCATGCATTAACAACATGTATAATGATAAAATAGCGTGTTGGTTAATATTTAAATCAACTTCGCGTTCAATTATGCAGAGATATTTTGCTGGAATACGATTCAAAATTATTTTGATTTTCTCATCGGGCCAATCATGAAGTACACGAGACAAAAAATAAAAATCCGCTGAAGGTAAAGAACCTGAAAATAGATCTCCATTTAAAAATTCAATTTTTGGATGATATAAAGCTAAACGAATAACTTCAGGACGATCAACACAAATTAAACGTTGATTAACACAATGTTTTGATAATTCACGTAACAAAGCACCAATTCCACCACCAAGATCGACAATAGTAGATGATTGAAATAATTCAATTGGAAGCACAGATGCAATATCATGCCAGTCTTGATCAGCATATGAATTCAATACTCTTTGTGTTAAAGCAACAAGATCAGGTGTTTTAGCAATTTCAGAAAACATATCAATTTTTGAAATATGTTTTTTTTGAAAAATAAAAGTTGGCAACCAAGTTGATATATATCGATCTAGTAACCAATAAAGAGCACGATCACGAGTAATACTATCTGAATCAAACAGAAGACGACCACGATCTGTTATAGTATAAGTCTTATTGTTAGGTGATAATTCAAGAAAACCAAATTCATTCCATACTCGACGAATTTGTTCTCTTAAATTGTAATCATGATTGTGTAATTGATGATCGTCTTCAAGTAAATTTATCTTTTGATCTAAACCCATTTTAAGTGCGAAAGATGACCAATAATTTTTTGAAATCTATAAAAAAAAATGTCAAGAAACAGTTATAATAAAAACCTATTAGAGAAATCCTTGCTGAATTAAAATGTAAAACACGATATAGTTGCGGGTGTGTGTGTAGAGAATATCCAAACTAACAACCACACCCAATGTATCTATCTTCAAATAGGCAATAAGGAAATAGTTCATTTCTTAGAACGAGACCTTATTGACATATGATGTTTGACTGTACATCAATAACCCATGTGAAGGTTCATGACAATATCTTCCTAGCATCTGTCACGATTTGTGAGCGGACAGTCGACATTTTTACTCCTATATTTCAATACTCTTTCTTAGATCGTGTTTCACAAAAATCTATTTACTTGTTCAATATCAGCACAATCTTCATCGTGACAATTATGTAATCGAGCTAATATGTGATGTTGTTCATCGATAATACATCTTGATCCATCGTGAAATAATTGAACAAGTGCTTGACCATTATAAAAATTTTCAATTTGACGATATCGACGACCTTGTCCAATATCAACACCAGCACGATTAATAAAAAACCAACCATTTTTATCTCGTGCTCGTGCCAAACCTTTATGGTAAACATCAAGATCGAAAAAACATGTTTCCTTCGATGATGAATGAAGTAGATCACCATTATCATCAATAGCACGAAAAAGGCCATCAAATGAACTACGAACAACAGCACTACCCTTAAATTAAAAAATCAATGCTATACACATAGATATGAAAAAAAAAAACAAATATCGTACTTCTCGAAAATCACCAGCATATGAATGAGGACCTGAAATAATTCGTCCCATAGAATCAATATGATAATATTTTAGATCAAAATCTCGTACAGGACATCGATGTGATTGAAAATTCCCACACCATTGCCATACAGATTTATACGCAGGCGAACCTTGTGCCGTAATATGATACCAATGATCAATTTTCTAAGAATTTTTACAATTAATTTGCGTATTTCATGTTATCATATGGCAAACCTGTACAGCAGCAAGATCTTCATAGAAACCAAATGTACGATGGAATCGTTGAGAATAAACATTTTCACCAAGTTCATTTATATGATATGCTGCTTCAGTTTGATCAATAACTGGGGCTAAACCAGGTGAATGAAATGGTAAAACATTTTTAAAACGATAATGATAAAGTGGTTGTTGAGTATTTAAACAAATATGATATGTATCACATGATGAAACTCGTGAATGCGTCCATTTCTTTCGATGAATTGTATTTCTCAAAAAATTTAATTGTTGAAATCGATTAAACAACATCTAGAATAAATCTTAAGTTAATAGAAAGAAAAACAATCAAAAGAATTTGATTAAATAATTTTATTTTAATTAGGTGGTTTTCTCATATTACAATTTTGACAGAGTGAATATTTTGTATAATTCTTAATTAAATTTTTATATGTATCACTTGTCCAAATTTTCATTAGACTTTCATTTGAATTTTGAATATTACCAAATGTACCTAATGATAATCGTTCTTGATCTGGTGAACAGCAAGGATCGAAACGTCCACTATAATTGATCCATGCTTCTTTACCTAAAAATGGACATACACTTTGTGGATGAATAGTAAATGAACCACTATGTTCATTTAATTCAAAGAAGTTTTCAAGTTTGATCTAGAAAATTTTAATTGAATATTTTTTGTTCTTTTTTGTGTTCGAAGAATCTCACTTGTTTTCCTGTTGGTAATAAATGTTGGCGAGCAATATTTTGACATTCAATAACACATTGATTCCATCGATGAATAGATTCTGGTGATCGACGTAGATTTTGATCTTTTATTTGTTTAAAATGAGCCCATAAGTGATGACCTTTAATACGATCAACACCTAATGATATTCCTAATTTGACAATCTAGGATAAATTCTTTTTATAATTATATATCAAGAGAAGAATTTTGATTTACTTGAGGAATTTCAGGTAAATTAATTTCCATGAATGTAAGTTGTAATGTCACTGTTGCTCGATTATGACCTTTGTTTACGAATTCATCACGTATACGAATGAATTCAATTAGATTTTTTAACTATAAAAATATTTAAATGTAATATTTACAGTGGTTCTAAAAATTGATTATATAGATTTAATTTCGATTTTTTTTTCAAATTCAAATAACAAAACCTAATTTATCAACACAAGGAACCTTGAAATAAAAGTTTATTTTGATTACACAGAACAATAGAATAACTAATTCTTTAGAAAATAAGACGTTTCAGAACCCTACACGATATTTTCTGACAAAATCATATCGATACTAATAAAAGCCAAAAATTTTGGTTTTTAGACTTCTGTTAAAATTTATGTAACTCAATCAAAAAGTGTTGTGAAGAGCTCGAAGACATCGATCCTGAATTTTTTCAATACTGTGAATTTAAATCTTTATCATCAAATTTTGGCGTTACTGCATCTCAAACTATGAACATATACCTGTTTATCGAGTTTAGAATTTTTCATAATAGATTCTTGAGTCGTTTTTGTACTTCCATTCCAAGAAAATTTAATATCACTTAAAACTGGCATGAGAAGATGAGCCCATTCTGCAACTAAAAAAAATATGAATTAATATTGATAGAAATTAGTTAAGGAAATAACATGTCATGCAAAGTAATTGAACTAATATCGGTGCCGCTATTTCGCTTCCATAGAAGTGTGTTAAAAGAATTTTTTTTTTAATCAGATAAGTTAGTTTTTCGGATCGAATATAATTTAATAATGTTAATATATTTTTAAAGAAAATGACATAGAAAGAAATAAAAATACTCGTGTAACAAGTTCATAATATTTATATTGATTCATCAAATGAGTCTATTATGTCAAGAACACTAATTGATTACATATTAAACAAATATTTTAAATATGGATAAATCAAAATTTTTGCTAACGAATCATTATTCAGTAAAACTCTCTAGAAAGATGAGGACATTTCTCTTTTCTATTACATCATTTAGCTTATAAACCTGTGACAAAAATAAATTATATACGATTGGAAAGATGAAAAATTTCTTTCGACATTCTTCTATCGAAGAAAAATAGAGATTGATATTTGTTTAATTATTTTTGCATCACATATGATATACCGGAATGTCCTTGTGGTGAAAAAAATGATCCATTGGTTGTTAGATTTAATTTAATATTATAATCTCGACATAGTTTGATGATATCTTCGAATGTACGACCTTTTGCATCTCGATACATAAGTGGTTCACCCATTGTTGATGGAATCTAATAGATATATTTGAAAATAAAAATGATAAATAAATATTCTTACAATTTCTTCTAATCCAAGTGAAACTGTTTCGGCAACAACTTGTTTTATTATATCAAAATCCATTCTGCGACGTCGAATTTTTGCTTCTTTACGTGCTTTTTGATGTGGTGAATGTTCTGAATGTTGTTCACACATAATGCAACTAAAATTACAATCATCTGGATTTGTATCAAATGTTATTCGACGTGGAGCTGATAATGATTCAATGGGTTTTGGTTGAAGATTTATACGTTCTTCGACATCACCTTTTGTTAATGTTGAATATAAATCAATTAATTGATCAACATGTGATTCAATTGATGGTACTTGTTCATCATTCGAATAAAGATAACCATGTTGATTTAATTTATCAAGTAAATCTGGTTGTTGAATAGCTCGAAGTATAACTTGTGCAAGTGATGATACATTACGATGGGTAAATAACAATCCATTAACTCCATCTTTAACTAATTCACTCTAAATAGAATATAAAATTCGTTTTCTGACAACATCTATGAATTTTAAAAAAATTCTTACCATTCCACCTTGATTAGCAGTAATAACAGGTACACGACATTGTTGTGCTTCATGAATAACTAATGGAGAATTTTCATTCCAAATTGATGGAACTACAATATAATCTACATGATTAAATACACGTGCAATAATTTCAGAATTTTTATATTCAGAACGCCATTCAACAGTAATTCCAGATGTTTTAGCCATTGTTTGAAGATTGCTTGTTGTTGTAGAATCTGGTCGACCATAAATAACAATACGAAATTGATTAGCTAATTCTGGATGAGTTTGAACGATTTGTTGTGCAGCTTCTAATAATAAATTGATACCTTTCGATGGTGAATGTCGACCAATGTATCCAAATGTAAGAGGATCATTCAATGAACGAATACGTTGACGATGTGTTAATATCGATCGATCAAAACCATATGGTAAATATTTTACTTTTTCAGGTGGAAGACCAAATTCATCGATAAATCGTTTCTGTAGATGAAGTGATGGTGCAATGAACATATCAATTGTATCACATGCTTGTCGTACTGTACGCATTCGTTCATTGATCCACCATGTCCAATAGTCCATTTCACGATCTTTATTTGTTGTGGTTCCTAATAAATCAATACAAATCAGAACCGTCAAGAAATCACTGTTTTTCTGTCAGATCTGTACGCTGAATCTGTCCGACTGATGCTTCTATTTTCCGTTATTTACCTAATTTATTTTCATGAAGATAGTATAATCGCAAGTTCTTATACAAAATAGTGAATAGAAACAAAGACATAAACAATCAAAAATATTTTTTTCATACAATGAACACTGGATTTATCGAAATGGTTTTGAAGATACTAGCACTTAATTATGATAGAAAAACAACATATGATGAGGCATAAAATGAAGAGATAAAAAAAGTATGAAAGAATAATCCAGACTCATACCCTCATTCGAATGACTCTTTCGCTAAGATTCTGACAGATATTGCAATCCATGCATCACATACAGACTGGCAACTCTGATATAAATATTTCTATGAAATCATTATTTCATACCTGTAGCAAAACGAGATGTAAAACATTTCGAAGCACATATCTTATCGTCTTGTCCTGTACATAATTGATAAGGCTCTTGATTAGTAAATGTTGAAGCAACACCATTAATTAAAAATTGTCCTCGTGGACACATAAGCCAATAATCATGTAGTGTATAAATAATTTTTGCATCTAAAATATCTTTTGCACTTTGTGGTAATGTTAATGATAAATGATTTAAATGTCCAAAATGAACAATATTTGGTTTTGGATCGAGATTTTGACATAGATTTTTAAAACAACGATCAATATCAGTGTTGACAAATCGTTGATATGGTGCTTCTCGTGCATGATTAATTAAAAAGATAGGTATAGTTGAATCATGTTCATCTTGTGCCTGTCGAATAAGAAAATCAGCACGAAATGGATCTTGTTCACGTGCAATAATCGAGACTGCTGATGTTTTTCTTGATCGATTTAATCGAACAGCTAATGTTTGTGTGTAAACCTAAATTTTTTTCAAAAGTTTTTAATAAAAACAAAAAAGAAAAAATAATATTACCTCTGAACCTGCATTGAATAATGGTGGATAACCATGATTAACAAGTAAAATTGAAGGTTTTGTTATAGTTTGAACGATTGACGAAGTAGAAAAAAATACCCGATTTATTTTCCCACTGATACCTAAAAATCGTGCCATGCAGTGTAAAAATAGTCTGTATGGTGTCTAGACACAAACTAGATAAAATGCAATGCTTCGAGAGGCTGTAAAAGAAAAGAACTGAAAAACACCATATTTTAAAAAGTGAGCAAAGATAAAAATGTTGTCGTTGACTACAAGCATTTTTTGTAGTTCTGTTACTGTGATAGACGGTCTGCACAACAAAGAAACCTTTGATACTCTTACTTTTTTGTTTGAATTAGCAAGAAATAGAAAGTGACAACTTAACGTAGTATTGACTATAAAACATAATTAGAACGAGTGAAGAAAAAACGTCACTGTATCCATACGACTCAGTAAGAAGTAGAGTTGAATGAACAAAAAAGTGAACATAATCATACTTGTGTTGAATATTAATTCAAAAAAACGTGTTTTATCTTTTCTCAGATGTAATTTACGACATAAAAATGTTGATAAAAAATTGATTATTTTTTTAATACATGTCTCAATTTTATTTGTTCGTTCTTGTTTTGTTAAGAAGGTTGAGATATTTGACATTATTTTATTTAATTCTCTTCTTTTATTTTATTTTATTTCAAATTTAAATCAATTTAATTTGATTTGATATTAATAGTTTATTTAAATTTAAAATTTTACAAATTGTGACGTTTCGTATCTCGATGAGATACTTCATCAGTATGTATATACAGAAAAATTTATTTTTTCGTTTTCCTTTAGTATTAGTCATACTTTTGATAGTGACATGGAAAACAAGACGGCGGTAGTAATAGCTAGCTAAGGATTGAATCCTTTTCTGTGTCACTATCAAAAGTATGACTAATACTAAAAGAAAAGGAAAAAAATTGTTTATATGTACATGTCATTTGTCTTAAATTTAATATCTGATGACGTATCTCATCGAGATACGAAACGTCACAATTTGTAAAATTTTAAATTTAAATAAACTATTAATATCAAATTGAATTAAATTAATTTCAATTTGAAATAAAATAAAATAATGTCAAAAAAATTTATTTGATCGTATGAAGAGAAAACACAAAAGCAAAAACGTTCTAAAAATCGAAATTGAGTCACTTCTAGAAAAGTGTTTCCTATCAATATTTTGAAATTGTTTGCTTTTCTTTCTAAAATCGATTCAAACTTTGGAGTCATCATGCACTCAATCAACTTCACTGAATTTGGAACTTGAACGAACTCAAAATTAAAATACAAGAAAGTGATATATTACAAAAAGACAATTGTTTTGTTTCATTTTTTTTTCTATAAAACAAAAGTTATACATGGCAATAAAATATAAAGCCGTGTTAGACATGTATGAAATATGAATTAGCTTGTCTCAATCATGTCCACTCTCGCAAATGGACGTAGGTGAAGTTAGCACCCTATTCGAGTAAAACCTTCCCATATTCGTCCAGGAACGTGTTCCAAGTGTTCCAGCCCGGTTCCAAGTACAACTCGACGAGCTCTATCTTATGGTAACCTTGGATCAATCGTAATCCAAACCATTGGTGAGAAAATCCCAAAATAGTAGCTTTTCACTATGTGTATGGTCACTAAGACCTTCCCATATTCGTCCAGCAATGTGTTCCAAGTGTTCCAACCCGGTTCCAAGTAAAAGTCAACGAGCTCTATCTAATGCTAACATTGGATCAATCGTAATCCAAAGCGTTGGTGAGAAAATCTCAAAATAGTATCTTTTCACTATGTGTATGATCACTAAAACCTTCCTATATTCAGCTGTGGGTGTGTGGGTGTGGGTGTAGGTGTCCTTTTTGAACAACACACACACTCACACGCACCACACTCACACCCACCACACCCACACCCGAATATGGGAAGGTTTTAGTGATCATACAGATAGTGAACAGATATTATTTTGAGATTTTCTCACCAACGATTTCGATTACGATTGATCCAAGGTTACCGTTAGATAGAGCTCGTCGAGTTCTACTTGGAACCGGGTTGGAACACATTCCTGGACCAGTATGGGAAGGTTTTAGTAAGTAGGTTTCCCTTTTCCCAGAGAAAAACAGCAGTATTTTGAATTTTCCTCACGATTGGTTTGGGCTCTGGAAAATCCAAGTTTACCATTAGATAGAGCTCGTCGAGTTGTACTTGGAACCGGGTTGGAATACGTTCCTGGACGGATATGGGAAGGTTTTACTCGAATATGGTGCTAACTTCACCTACGTCGCATAAGGATTATATATATTATGAAACATGTATTCGTGATGAACCTTTGCTGTTCGCACCCATATTTATAAAAAATAACTTTGTCTTAAATTTTACTTCTATCATGTAATCAATTACCGAAAGCGGGCCATTCTTTTAGAAAACAATAAAGTGAAGAAAGTATAGGAATTTGAAATGTATGATCCAATGGATCATTTTGAAAGTCTATAATGCTTGGCAAAGTCTCGTCAAAAATCACCAACACACCATATTTATGAGTTTATCGATGATGTTGCACCAGTTTCACGATAATTTCTTTGATTTTGTCGGAGGAGTCAGCTGAGGACGTTATAGAAGATTCCCTCAAAGTAATTCAGTCGCAACTAATTATTCACATTGGTCTAATGTAATTCCTAGCATCAGTGTTTATGCAGATGAACGATTGTCATATAGTCGCCAAAAAATTCTTTTGAACATAGCTTTAATAAAGTGGCAGATGTATGTCTATGGTACATTGATTTCTTAGAGATCAATTATATGCTGTGGATTGTGTATAGAAGGACTACTTTAGTACCCGTGAGACATATTTAATATTCAGAAAATTCCGTTAAAGGGTGATCACTTCATCGATAACTTCTTCATAGGTCGGCTAAAATTTTTCCTTCTTTTGAATTCTTGGATGACTTGGCCTTCATCATTGCTGAAAAGGATCTCTTTTGAGCAGGAAACTCATGGAGAAATAGACAAGCGAGATATGTAAAGAAACTTTCATGTAGAATAAGGAGTCTCATCTATGGTTGCAGTATAGCTTTTTTAACATAGAAACCCAGAACTCAATTATGATGTTCATGTTTTGCGTACAGCAAGATACTGAATTTCTTTTGCTTCAGTCATGCTACTTTTTCTGATCCTGACTTCCCAAGCCACTTTTAAAACTGCAACTCTCTTCTATTCTATTGTTTAATTGGACTGCGATTTCAAACCTGTCAGGATTTTCTGACTAGCCCAGAGTGAATCAAGTGCACTGTTATAATATCAAAAAAAAGCGTGGTTGAGAACAAAAATATCAAAAGAACAATAAAAGTGGGTGGGTGTGGGTGTCAGAGCTAGGATAAACAGATGTGCAGCACGTAAAAGTATTTTACTTGCATTTTAAAAAATGTACTTCTGCTTTTAATTGCCTGTGCACACCTTTAGGGTGTGGGTGTGTGTTACGAATGATTTCACTGCACTCTCGCCAACAACCCCACCAACAATCACACCTACCCACACATCAGACCGACAGATCCACACCCACAATCAAATTCTATCTATTTTTTTAGAGTGCACACGTCAGACTCATGCCCACACTCAAGTTGGAAAATTATTTCGTAATTACGATTTATTTTGTGAAGTTTTATTAAGTGTTCTTTCAGCAGTAGCAAAGATAAGGAAAATGTGGATGTTATTTTTTTGCTGTCTATCATATTTATTATCTCACCAATTATATTATTAAGTACTCATTAGGACATCAACACTAACGCCTGTAACACCGCCGGGATTGTATAACCAAAAGGATATTGTGTATGTATCGCCGATTTTGGTTGAAAATGTTTGAGTGAGATAATCGGCATTTCCTACAGACCCATCTAGATAGTAATTCGAACCAGAGTAAGACATATACGTATAGTGAGTATCAGTGACGCTTCCTGTTTCCAGTTGACCAGCATGAGCTGCATTTTGTGGATTGCAATAGACCCATGGCGTGAGACTCCCTGTCTCGAAGTCGCCATTGAGAAGTACTTGAGTGTTAGGTATTGCATTGTCCCATACAGTTATGTTATCAAGTGAAAAATAATAAGTATCATCACGCAAAGCAAATGTAATTCGTGTTGTATTGGCAATAGCTACATAAGTATATGCATACTGTACGTACGAACTCCGAACGGTACAATTATTGGAGCAATGATAGAGCACGGTGATACCGGTCCACCCTGATGTGCACGTATTGGATGTAATTGCTGAAATAAAATAGTCAAATAAAGTGTTCTTTGATTGAATTTCTTTTTGAAGCTACTCACTGACAGTAGCTGCAGTCGTTGTGAGAGTCGTTGTGACAGTCGTTGTGACAGTGGTTGTGACAGTAACAGCTAAATACAATGACAAAGAAGTTTAAAAAAACAGATCGACCAAACTTTTTTACGTGTGGTGCCGAGCCACACAGATAAGCACTGATAAATGAATATAAACATGTTGCAAGTAGAGCAATCTAGATATTCTTATATATTGATTTTGTACATATTACCACTGAAAGAACCGTCTAAACGTGTTACATAAATGAGAAAAACGAATTTTATCCACTAAAAATTACAGTATTTTAAAAAAAATTTCAGATTCTTTCATCGTGTTGAAAACGCATAATGGAAACCTTTTTACTCATAAAAACGCGATTTTATTTCTGAACATTTACTGATCAGATAATCATTGTTTCTATGGTAATTATGCGTGCTTCGGTTATAGAAATAACATTGTTAAATTGTTTATAGATATGCTTTGACTTGTAAGTGGAACTGTTATTAGTAACCAGCGCGTCAAGACCGATCAAAAACTGACGAAAATTTGTTTTCGTCGACGCAATTTTACTACCGTGAGGATCGTATTCCTAGAGCTATCATCAGCAATCAATAGAGCTTGTATCAATCGCAGCTTACCGACGATGTGAAAATACATCAAGGAGGAAATAGCAGGCCCTAGGACTTCACAGAACTCCACATGCTTATGGAGACATGGAGTCAAAACTAATTAGAATATTATCCAAGTCGTATAATATCATACGAAAATCGTATGAAAGGTTGTGTGATGTCTGA